CAAAAATCCATCAAATGCAACCAGCACTTGCCTCTGGGTTGCAGGATTACAAGTGATTTTATTTCTTCCTCATTTTCTTCTCCTCTACTTCCCAGGTTTTCTACCACATATATGAATTATCTTTAAAGTTAAAAAACAAAAGAGAGAGAGAAGGCAGTAAAAGTTATTTTATATGAAAGAGAAAGTTCTGCTGATAACCAGCCTTGGCATTAAACAAGCAGGGCCTTCTAGTGACCCTGGCCCTGTCCTCATGCTGTGTGCACCTCCCTCAGGAGGGACAGAAAGAAGGCAGGGACAATGAAGGACAAGAAAATACTTCGGGGGGAATTCTCTGGCGGTCCAGTGATTAGGACTCCGCACTTTCACTGCCAAGGGCCTGGGTTCAATCCCTGGTCAGGGAACTAAGACCCCGCAAGCCATACGGTGCGGCCAAAAAAAAACCCCCAAAAAACACTTCGGGTCAGCAGCATGTCAGCACACGAATCCCACTTGAAAACCACCCATAACAAATGGCAGAGGCTTCCCTGGTGGTGCAGTGGTTAAGAATCCGCATGCCAACACAGGGGACATGGGGCCCTGGTCCGGGAAGATCCCACATGCCGCGGAGCAACGAAGCCCATGCGCCACAACTACTGAGCCTGTGCTCTGGAGCCCGGCCACAACTAATGAAGCCTGCGCCTGGAGCCTATGCTCTGCAACAAGAGAAGCCACTGCAATAAGAAGCCCTCGGCAACTAGAGAGAGCCCACGCACAGCCACGGAAGACCCAATGCAGCCAATAAATAAGTAAATAAATAAATAAAATCTATTTTTTAAAAAATGGCAGGGGTTATCACACAGCTGTTAAATGATGGCTTTTGATGAACAGATAAACAAAACATGGTCCATCCACACAATGGAATATTATTCAGCCACCAAAAAAAGGAATGAAGTACTGACACATGCTACAAAGTGATGAACCTTGAAAACATCACGTCCAGTGAAAAGAGCCAGACAGAAAAGGCCGCGTATTACATGAAATATCTAGAGTAGGTAAATCCACACAGACAGAAAGTAGATTAGTCGTTGTCAGGGGCTGAGGGAAGAGGGAATGGGGAGTGATTGCTAATGGGCAAGGGGTTTCTTTCTGGAGTGACAAAATGTTCTGGAATTAGTGGTAATAGTTGCACAATGCTGTGAATATACTGAAAACCACTAGGTTGTATAGTTTAAAAAGTCAATTTTATGGCATGTAAGTCATATCTTAATATGAATAAATAAAACTTTAACACTGTAGCGGTTCTAAAGAGTTGTAACGCGGGGGTTGGGGGGAAGCTTTTCCTTTAAAAAGTGGGGGGCGGGGGGGGGCTTCCCTGGTGGCGCAGTGGTTGAGAGTCTGCCTGCCGATGCAGGGGACGCGGGTTCGTGCCCCGGTCCGGGAGGACCCCGCATGCCGCGGAGCCGCTGGGCCCGTGAGCCATGGCCGCTGAGCCTGCACGTCCGGAGCCTGTGCTCCTCAGCGGGAGAGGCCACAACAGTGAGAGGCCCGCGTATCACAAAAAAAAAAAAAAGTGGGGGGTGGGGGAAGCGACATATGAAACTGACCACAATTTAGTGAAACAAAGCAATGACATGGGAAGGGAATATATCAAAATGGTTCTCTTGAGGCAACCTGAATGTTTCTTATTTCTGCAGCACGAAATTCTGAGGTGTTCTAAGCTTTTACAATGGGGAAAACAACCTTATTTTCAGAGCTACCTGTACTCTGCACCCACCCACCTGATGTTCCTTTTTGGCTGCCTGATCCTGGCGCTGAGATCCAGCAGCCTCCAGGGGTCCCTCTTGGAAGCAGTCCTACAGGCCTTTCCCATCTTTGTGCAAGTCCTTCCATAACCCCAGGGGTGACAGTCCACAAGCCCACCCACAGATCATTCAACATCCAGTCCCCACGTTCCTGAACACCCTGGAGGTTCCAACAAGAATAAAGTCTAAGTTCCGCCCTCAAGGAGAAGCCACAGACTCTTAGAAAAGGTGGGAGCTGGAACAGAGCCTTAGTGGAGGGCTAACATGCTCCACACTTCAGACCGCAGAGGAAGGGGCTTGTCTCTGTCAACCTCCAGCCTGAAATTCTTGGATCTTGTCACCCTGATCACACCACCCCTGCTCAAAACTCTTGGGTACCCTCATGATCACACCACCCCTGCTCAAAACTCTTGGGTGCCCTCAGAGCCTCTCAGGACAGTCAGGAGGAAACCCTCTCTCCTGGCTCAGAAACAGCCCCTTTGGTGCAGCAGCTCGAGCTGCCTGACACACAGGGGCTCGCCTCCCTTCTGCCCTTTGCAGTCCTTTCCTGCTTCCTCAAAGGGCTGGCTCTGCCTGGGGCCTTCAGAACGCAGAGCCTCTTCTGCATCCCTACGGCAGCTGCTGCATCTGGGAGCACACTGCCTCATGTTACCTACCAGAGCATCCCTTCACAAGTAGACTGTGAGCCCCATAAAGGCAGAGATGGAATCTGGGTTTTTGCTCCGTGCTGTATTCTTGGCCCCTGGCCCACAACAGGTCAGCAGTAAATAACCACTGAGTGAAAGAGTTGGCAGCCATCCTCTGGGCTCCCATACACCCCTTGTTTCTCTCCTGCCACACAGCCTCCTGGAAGTGCACCTGCGTTCCTCCTTGCACCATCAGGCTGTGGCTAGATGCAGAAACACCTCAACTACTCTCGCAAGCAAAACCCTCTGTTGGTGACCCTCGAAGACCCTAATCCAGCCTCAGGGTAGACTTACTCGCCAGGATGCCGGGGCTGAGGGCTGGCCACCTGATTCTGCTTGGCTTTCTGCTCCATTTTGGCTTCAATTTCCCGTTTCTTCTGAGCAATGAGCTCCTCCTGGTGAAGGATGTTCATGTTCATTTTTCCAGACTTGGGAGGAGCAACCCCAAACCACCGGTTAGCCTTTCCTGGGGAGGAAAAAGAAGTACAACAGAAATCACCTTTGCTCCAAAAACATGCCCAGCAGCTGCTATGGGAGCAGCCCAGATGCTGCTGCCCGCAGCAACTGACATTCAGATGGACATTCACACATCTGTTCCTTCATTTATTTAGCAAACATTTACTGAGTTATGCACCAGATGCTGTACTTGGTGCTAATCAAGACAGAAGGGGCCTCTGCCCATGTGGGATTCACCTCTGGCTGAGGAGACAAAAGACTTGTAACAAAAAAGTAGTTGCAAAATCATGATAAGAGCTCTCTGCTGGAAACAAAAAAAGAGATGAGAAAGCATAACAGAGGACCACCTATACAGCCAGCCAGAAAATAACCTTTAAAAAAGGGGACATTTAAGCTAAAACCAGAAAGATAAAGAGGTGGCTTTCTGAAAAGCCACATGGGGAGTGATCTGGGCAGAGTAAGAAGCAGAGGTCCAATGTAGTCAGAGCAGGCGGTTCCAGGGGTGGGGCTAGCGGGGGTAGGGCAAGATAGGGAGTCTGAGTTTTACTTAAAGGGTTTTAGGAAGTGACTGGGGAGTATTAAGCTGATAAGATCTAACTGGTATTTTTATTTTTAAGATCACTCTGTCTACTGATTGGACAGAGTGCATAGGCAGCAAGGAGACCAACGAGGAGGCTTACTGGCTCCAAGCAAAAGATGATGGTGTCTTCAGACAAGGGTGGTAGTTGTGGAGATGGAGAAGACGCCTCGAACGTTCCCCACGGGACTCAAAATAAAATCCAAATTCTGAAAGCCGATTTTCAAGACGCTGCCAGAGATGGCTCCCCTCCCCACTTCCACTTCATCCCTGACATTCTTCAAAATGACAAGCTCTCAAGGCCTTTGCACTTGCTGTCCCCCTCTGCATAGAAGGCTCTGCCTTCCAGGCCTTCCAATAGTTGGCATCTTCTCATCTCAAATATCTTCTGCTCAAAAAGGCTTTCCTTGACCACCCAATATCAGCAACCTGCACCTCCACTCTCTCATATCATTATAACTCACTCTCTGTAAAGATTTCCTTTTTTGTGCATTGTGATGCCCCAGTAGAAAGTAGCCTTCAGGAAGGCATGGCCCCGTTTTGGTTACACTAACATGCTCAGCAACTAGCACAGTGCCTAGCACACAATGAATATTTCTTCCACGTATCCCAGTCTGGGTGGAGGGCTAGGGCTGGGGTGGGGGAAGAATAAGGCTTGTGCTAAAGTAGGGGCTCTAAAGACCCAGGAAAATGTGTACAGGGAGGCCAAGTGCAGTTCGGAAAAACAGCTTTTCCAGAAAGCGGGATACAGGCCAGTCAGGAGCTGCCACGAAGAGAGGCGCAGGACAGCCCAAGGTTGCCACTGGCTCGGGGAGCGGAGCTCTGAGCAGCCCTGAAGGCGGTTATTTCGGAAAGCAGGCGCAGGGCAGATCCCGGTGGCGGCCTTTAAGGAAAGCCTGGCGTCCCCAGCAAACCAGCGGTTGGGGGGGGGGGGGGGGGGACGGGGTAACTGGGTCTGGGGTCTCGGGAGACGGGGGTGGTGCAGAAGCCGCCTCTTCCAGCCACCGAGAAGCTGAGGCTAAGGGCCGGCGGGTTGCGGTAGGCCCGACGGTAGGGCTAAGCAAAGACTCATAGCCCGAACACCCAGGCAGACGCTTGCGGGGAGGCGGGGGCTGTTACCTGCAACATCCCGGTTGTCCATCTTGAGACTCATCCAATCCCACAATGCTCCGGCGCCACCGGGGGCGGAGGGGTGGTGGTGGCGGGGGGCGCTTGTTATAGTACGCATGGCCTGATGGGAGATGTAGTCCGCATCGCCAAGCCACGCCCTGCCATTGCTTGGACACCTGGGGTCTTCACCCTAGGAATGCAAACCTCAGCCCATCGGAAATCTCCGGTCACAGTCCCGCGGACCAGAGGGTGTCGCCTTTTCTCAGACCTTCCCGGAGCCGCGGCCACTCCAAATACAAACTACATGTTCCAGGATGCTTTGTACAGAAGCTCTCGCGAGGAACGCGAGGCGCTCCCGGCCCCGCCCCGTGCGCCTGCTTCCGCCTCCCTGTGGCTGCAGCTTGTTGTTGGGGAGGCCAAAATGGCGGCTCAGGCGGCGGCGGCGGCGGCTCAGGCGGCGGCGGCCCAGGCAGCGCAGGCCGAGGCGGCTGAGTCGTGGTACCTGGCGCTCCTGGGCTTTGCCGAACACTTCCGCACTTCCAGCCCGCCCAAGATCCGCCTGTGTGTGCACTGCTTGCAGGCCGTGTTCCCCTTCAAGCCGCCGCAGCGCATTGAGGCCCGAACACACCTGCAGCTCGGTTCCGTGCTCTACCACCACACCAAGAACAGCGAGCAGGCGCGCAGCCACCTGGAGAAGGCGGTGAGCGCGGGCCGGGCCGCAAGGGTGGAGGTGCAGGCTCTTTTCCGAGCTTGGGCTGAGGGGTCGCGACCCTGGCGGGCGGGGGCCGCCGGCGCCGCTCCTCCGGGACCTGGGGCGTGACTTCCGCACCAGCAGCAAGACCCCGAAGACGCGAGCCTCTCAGGGGACCCGAGGAAACTCGCCCCGTACCGTACTTAATGTTTCTGGTGACAGGCAGAGGCCTAGGACTCCGGTCCGGGTACTCCGACAGTTGCGTCTTTCAGGAGCAGCAGGGTTGTGCCCCCATCAGTGATGAGGGGAGTCATAGGTGAGAGACAGAGGCCCAGAGCCTAGAGGCAGTCGTTTTAAGTCCTGTAAAAGGCAGAACTGGGCGGGGGGTGGGGGGGTGTCTGGATTCCAGGGCTTAGGGCTCCTGCTTTCTCCGTATCTACCTGTGACTTCTCTTCCTCCCACCATCCACTCAACCGTCCCCTTCAGAGGGCAGGCCCTATCTTCCCATGTTGACCTGTGGGATCTTGGTGCCTCAAAAAATGTGGGAAAGTGGCCATCATTCTTCCCTTTCTGGCTGTGCAGTTGTTTCTACTAAGAGCAACACTGCGCTCCTGTCATACGGTGTCTCCATTTGCCGTTTACCCAGCTTTATTCTGCTTAGAGGAGGGATTTCTTTTTTTTTCTTTTTTTTTTTAATGGTTACTTTCTTCCTGCCAGAGGTATGGGGTGAGTTTTTTTCTTGTTTTTTTTTTTTTTTGATGTTGGGAGTAGGAGTTTATTAATTTATTCATGTATTTTTGCTATGTTGGGTCTTCGTTTCTGTGCGAGGGCTTTCTCTAGCTGTGGCAAGTGGGGGCCACTCACTATCGCGGCTTCTCGTTGCAGAGCACAGGCTCCAGACGCGCAGGCTCAGTAGTTGTGGCTCACGGGCCTAGTTGCTCCGCGGCATGTGGGATCCTCCCAGACCGGGGCTCGAACCCATGTCCCCTGCATTAGCAGGCAGATTCTCAACCACTGCGCCACCAGGGAAGCCCAAGACTTCTTGAATACAGTCAACTTCGATTTTAAAAATGTGTTGATCCTGGGCTTCCCTGGTGGCGCAGTGGTTGGGAGTCCGCCTGCCGATGCAGGGGACACGGGTTCGTGCCCCGGTCTGGGAGGATCCCGCGTGCCGCGGAGCGGCTGGGCCTGCGCGTCCAGAGCCTGTGCTCCGCGGCGGGAGAGGCCACAGCGGTGAGAGGCCTGCGTAATGCAAAAAAAAAAAAAAAAAAAAAGTGTTGATCCTGTGGTAAATCTGAACCCACCGGTGGCTAGTAACAAATTGCCTTTGGTAGGATAATCAGATCTTTGTTTTGCAGACTGTAAAGAGTTGGAAGGGGACTTTAGTTCTTTCTTGATCCACTTCCTTGTTTCACGAATGAGGCAGTATGGGCCCAAAGAGGTAAAGTGATTTGCCCAAAGCCGCACAGCAACTATTAACAAAATTGAGCTCAAACCTAGGCTCAAGGGCTTCTTTGGTGGCGCTGTGGTTAAGAATCCGTCTGCCAATGCAGGGGACACGGGTTCAAGCCCTGGTCCGGGAAGATCCCACATGCCGCGGAGCACCGAAGCCGGTGCGCCACAACTACTGAGCCTGCGCTCTAGAGCTCCCGTGCCACAACTACTGAAGCCCGTGCACCTAGAGCCCGTGCTCCGCAATGAGAAGCCACTGCAATGAGAAGCCCGCGCACCGCAACAAAGAGTAGCCCCCTCTCGCCGCGACCAGAGAAATCCCGTGCACAGCAATGAAGACCCAACGCAACCAAAAATTAAAAATAAATAAATAAATAAATTTACAACAACAACAAAAAATCTAAGGTCAAGATCGCCAGGGTCCATGCCAAGACGATAAGTCATGGGTTGTTGTTGTTTTTTTTAATTAATTAATTTATTTATTTATTTTTGGCTGTGTTGGGCCTTCATTGCTGCCGCGGGCTTTCTCTAGGAGCAGTGTGCGGGGGCTACTCTTCGTTACGGTGCATGGGCTTCTCGTTGCAGTGTCTTTTTTTTTTTTTTTTTTTTTTGCGGAATGCGGGCCTCTTACTGTTGTGGCCTCTCCCATTGCGGAGCACAGGCTCCAACGCGCAGGGTCAGCGGCCATGGCTCACAGGCCCAGCTGTTCCGTGGCATGTGGGATCTTCCCGGACCGGGGCACGAACCCGTGTCCCCTGCATCGGCAGGTGGACTCTCAACCACTGCGCCACCAGGGAAGCCCCGCAATGTCTTCTCTTGTTGTGGAGCACAGGCTCTAGGCGCGTGGGTTTCAGTAGCTGTAGCACGTGGGCTCAGTAGTTGTGGCTCACAGGCTCTAGAGCGCAGGCTCAGTAGTTGTGGCGCACGGGCTTCATTGCTCTGCAGCATGTGGGATCTCTCTGGACCAGGGCTTGAACCCACGTCCCCTGCGCTGGCAGGCAGATTCTTAACCGCTGCGCCACCGGGGAAGTCCAAGTCGTTGTTTTTGTGAAGTTCTTTTCTTTCATTCATTCAGCAGATATTTAATCAGCTCACACTGGGTGCCAAGACCTATTCTAGGTGCTGGGGATCAACAGTGACTAAAGCAGTCCCTGCCCACAGAAGCTTATGTTTTTGTAAGGGAGACAAACAATGAATATATAGTAAAAGGTTAGGCAGCGTTAGAAGAAACATGAAAACCAGGGTGAGGGTTGGAGTTGACAGGGAGCTATTTTTAGCAAAGGTAATGAGGGAGTCTCTATTTGTGGGAGTCACATTTGAACAGAGTCCTGAATGAGGTGGGGGAGCAAGCCCTGAGAAGCGCTCAGAGTTTCAGGTCAATCCCTAGGAGTGCCTGAGCTGTTGGTGACTGGTTGATATCAGGGTCTCTCCTGAGCAGTGATGAGGCTGAGATCAAACGAAGTGTCAAGCTTCCTTGGGTGTGGGAAGGGTGGAGGCTGTGACTGCCCGGGCCTGACTCCCAGTGCTTTTAGTGGATGTGCTGGTTCTGAAGCTCTCTCTTCTCTCAGTTAACAACAAATCCTGCCACCTCCTTTGCCTTGTCTTCAGGCCATTCAGCCTGTTTCTTTTTAGTTTTCTTTTTTTAATTTGAAATATTGTAGGGTTTTTTAAAATTTTTATTTAATTAATTTATTTATTTTTGGCTGCATTGGGTCTTTGTTGCTGTGCGCGGGCTTTCTCTAGTTGTGGCAAGCGGGGGCTACTATCGTTGCAGTGCATGGGCTTCTCATTGCGGTGGCTTCTCTTGTTGTGGAGCACAGGCTCAGTAGTTGTCATGCACGGGCTTAGTTGCTCCACGGCATGTGGGATCTTCCGGACCAGGGCTCGAACCTGTGTCCCCTGCATTAGCAGGCGGATTCTTAACCACTGCATCACCAGGGAAGCCTTATGGTAGTTCTATTTTTAATTTTTTGAGGAACCTCCATACTGTTTTCCATAGTGGCTGCACCAATTTACAGTCCAACAGGGCACAAGGGCCCCCTTTTCAGGGCTTCCCTGGTGGCACAGTGGTTAAGAATCCGCCTGCCAATGCAGGGGACATGGGTTCGAGCCCTGGTCCGGGAAGATCCCACATGCCACGGAGCAACTAAGCCCGTGTGCCACAACTACTGAGCCCGCAAGCCACAACCAGTGAAGCCCACGTGCCTAGAGTCCATGCACCACAACGAAGAGTAGCCCCCGCTTGCCACGACTAGAAAAAGCTCATGTGCAGCAACGAAGACCCAACACAGCCAAAAATAAAATAAATGAAATAAATAAAATTATTTTTTTTAAAAAAAGGGACTTGAACTTAAATAGACGTTTCTCCAAAGAAGATAGCCAATAGGCGCATGAAAAGATGCTCAGCATTGCTAGTTATTAGAGAAATGCAAATCAGAACTACATTGAGGTATCACCTCACACCGGTCAGAATGGCCATCATCAAAAAGTCTACAAATAATAAATGCTAGAGAGTGTGTAAAGGAAAGGAAACCCTCCTGCACTGTTGGTGGGAATGTAAATTGGTGCAGCCACTATGGGGAACAGTATGGAGGTTCCTTAAAATAGAGTTGTTGGGCTTCCCTGGTGATGCAGTGGCTAAGAATTCACCCACCAATGCAGGGGACACGGGTTGGAGCCCTGGTCCGGGAGGATCCCACATGCCTCGGAGCAACTAAGCCCTTGCGCCACAACTGCTGAGCCTGTGCTCTAGAGCCCGCGAGACACAACTGTTGATCCCACGTGCCACAACTACTGAAGCCTGTGTGCCTAGAACCCATGCTCTGCAACAAGAGAAGGCACCGCAATGAGAAGCCCGCACACTGCAACAAAGAGTAGCCCCCACCTGCTGCACCTAGAGAAAGCCCATGGGCAGCAACGGAGACCCAGTGCAGCCAAAAATAAAATAAATAAAATAAATAAAAATTTTTTTTAAATCTAAAAAAAAAAACCAAAAGATGCCGGCAGCAATGTATATATTAAACAACAAAAAAAAGTGGAGTTGTCATATGATCCAGCAATCCCACTCCTGGACATATATCGGGAAAAGATGAAAACTCATTCAAAAAGCTACATGTGCTGAAATGTTCATAGCAGCACTGTTTATAATAGCCACAACATGGAAGCAACTTAAATGTCCATCAATGGATGAATGGATAAAGAAATGTGGTATATGTATACATAATAGACTACTTATCCATAAAAAAGAATGAAATAATGCCATTTGCAGCAACATGGATGGACCTAGAGATTATCATACTAAGTGAAGTAAGTCAGACAGAGAAAGACAAATAGCATATGAGATCACTTATATGTGGAATTTAAAATATGATACAAATGAACTTATTTTAAACAGAAAACAGACTCACAGACATAGAAGACAATCTTATAGTTACCAGGGGGAAAAGCGGTAGGGGAAGGATAAATTAGGAGTTTGGGATTATCAGATACAAAGTACTATATATGAAACAGATAAACAACAAGGTATAGCACAGGGAATTACATTCAGTATCTTGAAA